ATACGGGGAGGCCCTTTCCTGCCACGGTGATTTATGACTCATAAACGTATCCCATCGTGCCGACCGATTTCCACAAATATACGGCAGATCGAGAACGTTATTGCGAGTCGACCGGGGTTATACGTTCCGCGCAATCAGCGGATTAAATCGTTGCCCGTGCCGCGGAGAGTTCGAGATCTATTTTTTATTCACCGGAGACGCCGGTTATCGCGGGCAAAATACAACAGCGAACGCCCTCGAAACGCGTCTCGGTATCGAGAAATGCTTAAATAATGTGCGCACCCCGGGAACATCGTTTCCTCTTTCCTTTCGCTGTTATTAACTCGGCGAACAAATGTTTAGCCGAGCTTTAGGTGGATAAAAAATATGTTTCCACTCCACTTGTACGATTAATCTAAAGAAATTTTATACATAAATAGAAAGTGTTGGGTAAATATACTTCTAATTTTTATTTTTTATATTTCGTCCTTTTTGAGGAACTTCTTGAGACATTTACAGATCATTACATACTACGACTAAAAAATTAAAAAATGGTAAATAGGAAATAATAATTATCTGTATAGAAGCTAGGAAGAAATTTGAAATATCAGAATATTCATTTCTATATAATTTCTTTATAATTAATATTCCACGCGGTTGCTAATGAGAATATTTGCCTTAGCATCTGTAATTATTATTTTATAATACGATATCATACATTATTGCATCATATCATTATAATATCTAATTGCAATTATTTGAAAATTTTCAGCTGTAAAGAAGAGAATAATCATGCTTGAATAATTACAAATTTTTTTGCAGAGTGACATATAATAACAATGACAGTATTTGATGAATATGATTCTGTTATATCGTAAATCATTTTTACGTATATTATTCAAACGTGTAAATTCTGTCGTTCAGAGACGTATTAAGCCGAACAATTCTTGGTTATTCTATAGCCATTCATGCTCGATGTAGCACTTATCTTAAAAGCTCGAAAGCTTTCGGCGTTCCAGTATTGGTCGGATTTCATCCACGAATGAAAAAGATTACGCGTGAAAGTGTGACTGAATAGCTTGAAAAAAAGGGCTTTGTAGAATGCGTATCCATGAAACGGTGAATATATCGTTCCTATTCGAAAAAAGAGGGGTGTCGGAAAATAAAACGGACCTCCTTTCAAAGAACCACAATGCTGTATCAATCTTCATAAAAATATTTTCATCTATTCCGTTAAGATTTCTTTGATTGCACGTGGGAGTAGACTGAGTATATAAATTAGAGTGTTAAATTCTATTTTGGATCTTTTTTCATTTTCTAAATTTCTAGATTTCTAAATCCCTAAATTTATAAATTTCTCAATTTCAATAGAAATTCAAGTAGGTACGTGTCACCTCTAAATGAATAATCAAACGTTAATTTAAGCAAGATAGCTTCCCAATGTTCTCATCTTAAAGGAAGTTCGTTTTTTCTGAAAAGAAAGGAGCAAATGTGCTTGAGACTTGAGTTGAAGACTCCTTTGTTTGAACCGTCAAACAAACTGTGACCTATTATTCGCAATTACACCCTTGAAAGATCTTAAGAGTTGGATCAAAGATATAAGAGAAAGATTTTTATCGAGGTATTTTTCCTACATACAAAGAGCTTGCTTCTTAGAAACTTGAATTCTCATTCAAATTTCCTTTTTTCTCAGACAATAATGTTAGCAATGCTTCCTTTGTTGTATTTTTCTATTGTTCTATCTTGACCACCTGAAGATGCTGTCCTTTTAATGATACTATAACTTCACTTCTCATGAACCATCAATACTTATTCTTTCAAATATTAGACATGTTCTATCTCAATTCCTATATCAATTTGAAAAGACACCCCGAATATCTAACAATAATCCATGTACATCGTCCGAGTATGAGATTTCATAATGAAGGAAAGGGTAGTTGCAGTCGTAACGATCTATCCGCCATAGCGTGTCCATTGTTCACGGGCAAGATATTTGAGAACACCGGCGTCCAAATATCTCTCGCCATTCAAACTGCTGTCTAAGTAATCCGTAGAAGTTTTAGGCTAGCATGGGCTACCTCTTCGGACAGGAACAAAACCAGTTCGCGATTTGACAATCGGCGAAGTTATCGTACCGAGAGTCCACAGGCGTCTTCTTGTTCTTGCTTTCGAAAGTTTGTCTACGGTAAATTGTACGGAAATCAAGCAACCAACCGCAGATCTAGCTTCCGCTTTACGTCATTCGAGTGTCAATTGAAATTCGTAAATTATGTCTTCAAGATTTTCGAAAACCCTCGTTCAACTACAACTCTAAAATGAATTCATCGGATGAAATATCTCAATCTCATTAGCAGCATTTACGAAAAAAGTGCATCGAAAATGAATGAAAAAACCACCCTTGATAAATGACACTTTTGCACCACAAGCTGCTAAATGAATCGCACAAAACGAACAAAGATTCGCGTCGCTAAAATTCTAATTTCACGTATATAAAACTGGTTCCGTGAATATCAGAATAAAAAGAGCCACGGTTGAATGTCAGTCTCCCGCCCGAAGCTTAATGAGTCGCGATGAAATTTACTGGCAATTTCTAAAACGCGTTTAGCGAGACGCGTCACGCTTCTTCTCGTCTCGTCTTTTGAAATTAGTCGAAACTCGTTCGCTCCCTTTGTGCCTAGGTAGTCTGAATTTCCGCAGGCCATTCGCGTTACTCCAAGTGAGAAAACTGGGAAGCTCGTCCGAAAATTTAATATCAAACTTCATCGTCACGCGAAATTTACTCGCGAGCGTGCACTCTCGCGAGAAAGAGGGACACGCTTCGGTTCGAATGCATCCAAGACGCGACGTCAGTTCGCGAGATTCAACCATTCCACTGTCGAGAAAGGCCTTTGTTCGTCGTTTAAATTCAACCTTTCGTAAAAGCTTGAAATATTCATTAAGTATTTTCAACGACTATGTTTTATTTAGTGCAGTATTTTGAAAGATATGCACGTTGACCCGTTTGTATATTCAGTTATCCATCTATGATTTACTATACTCGATCCTGTCTAGAGGGATTCAAATTAGTCAAATTAATCTGGCTTACTAATAGTGTTCGATCATTTACAATCAATACTGTAAGCGATAGTCACCCGCGTGTACAGTATACGTGATAGTGTTACTGTAATTTGTGTACCTAGTTACAGTGTAATGAAATAATTAAGGAAATTCGAAGAAATCGATGAATATTTTGAGATGTGAAATCATTTTGAACTTTAATGAACCTGTAAATAGTTCTATTTGATCGTCATGTTTATTTGAAAGAAATATCCTTTGAATTTTACAATGATTAAAAAATAAGGACAATTCGTAAAGGAATATAGAATTTTTTATTTTCCTACAACTCCAATATCCGTTGATTCATTCATTTCCACGATGCATCGGCTGCTACATTAGCAACTTCGAAGTTGAAAATTAAATTCCAACCGAAGCGTACCTTTCGCCCGTGAAGTTTGATTCGCTCTACCGAATCATTTAGAAACGTGATCCTCCAGTCTCTTCGAGCATCGTAAATGACCCGACCATCCATTCGGATATGTATGCATGAGAGGAAAATACAATTAGAATACTCTAGCAACGTACAGGAGTAACGAATTACTCTTCGCCCTACAGGGGAAGTTTATTTGACGATAATTATAACATGTTGCACGGCCGTTTGCATCTTTCAATTATACTAGGCGTTTGCACAGATTAAAATGAAACTTGTACAGTTTATTAACGTGTTGACTACCTTGTTATCCAGCAGCCCTGTTATTACATCAACAAATTATTTTTGAAAAATTAACGATTCTGGTATGAGTTTAAGTTTCTTGTTTCAACCTGAAAAAATTAATTTTTGTCAGATTTAATAAATAAATTAGTTATAAATATCCTGTGAACTTGTAAACTAAATTTCTGGTTAGAATAGCTGTTGAACTCGTTGGGGCACCAAAATCACGTTTTCACGTAGCTGGTTTTTCCCTTGAATTGATGGTAGACCGCGGCCATTAATTAATGGTCAGGATTAATTGTCATTTGTCCGGAAAGCCACCTCTGAATCACACGCAAAACAGCGTGCGGTACTGTACGTAGTTCGCATTGTGAACCACCTTAAATTTTGTCATTGTCCCTGCGAGTGGTCAGCTGAGGTAATTGGTACGGGAAAAACTTTTCACGGAGGAAACGTCCGAAACGCTTTTAATTGTAGTTTCGCGCTACGTGGGCGGGAAAGTGGAGTCGCGAAATTAATTATGAAACGATACCGTAACCAAGTCCGTGGTCGGACCAGTTTCCGGTGTTGGAACATTTTATGACTCTGCACGGACAACAATTTACTTTATTAATTACCGTGCCACGTAAGATCGTCAACCGGGGAAATAAATTTTCGATGAATCCTTGAAACACGACTCGTGCGGTTTAGGTAGATGAAAAGTATACTTCATCATCACGTGTAAAGTATCATGCGTGTAAAAGAATAAAGAAAAATTACTTACAATATCCATCGTTAATCGAAATATAAAACATTATAGAATATGTTTATTTTTCAACAATCAAAAATGTAGTAAATTAAAATTACAATTGTTAAAATTATTATCAAGTTAATCGCATTCCTTTGGTTAACCCTCGGACGGCGGACCAGGGAGAGAACCACAATTTCAATTTAATTTTCAATTTCGTATCATTTTCATTTTTTAAATTTTCCATAATTGAATGTTTTAAAGCACTCTTGGTCGAAAAGGAAGTTCCTCTTTAGGTTTCCTAATCTTGTCTACTTACAATTAGTTAAAAGAAGAGAGGTGGAAAAAAGGTCGAGTAGCAAGGGAAATGCAAATATAAACGAATCTCTCAGTTGTGAAAATAGAATCTCCTTGAAAGGGATTGTTTAAACGCGTACGTCTCGAGTAATCTTCATGTGAATAGTTCAAGGATACCTCAACACTTGAGCTCTTTCACGAACACACCTTTTATGCGCTAATTAACCAGTTTTTCTGTTTATTTGACAGGTGTCCTGGATGCGTAAAAGGGACATGCACATCCTTAGCACGGGGATCTCCATGTACACGTCGGATCTAAGGTTCCAAGTGATCCATCCCGAGAAATCGGAGAACTGGACGCTGCAGATCAAGTCTCCTCAAGAACGAGATGCCGGGGTTTACGAGTGCCAGGTCAGCACGGAACCAAAGATGTCGTTGAACTACAGCTTGAACGTGATCGGTAAGTGCATTCTATATTATTCAGACGGTGATACAAGCAACGACACTGGGGATGCTTTTCGTTTTCTTACGAAAACCTCAATGGATATTGGAGCAATCGATGGAACCATTTTTGTATCTTTAGATTTTTACGGATTTACTCTACTTCCTTTTTAGTAAGATATTTCCGAGTGCTTGAAAATTATAAAATATAACATGAACCCGCGAACAAACTACTTTAATAGCGGTTGCTGAAATTAAGGTATACTATAAACAGACTAACTTCAATATTGGCATAACTGGCTGGGCGAGAACTTAATCTTCTCAGTTCAATAACTTAGCAACTTGCAACCGAATTCTCGTAAACTTTCCGCGTTCACTGTGAAATTGAAGGCAACGCTTGTGGCAAATTATGTCCACGTTTTCGCTTGGCAAAGGTAGAACCAAGATTCATTAAAGATTCTGAAGTTACAATGAAAATTTCTGAAATTAGAATGGTTCTTTAAGGAGAGTTCGGGATAGCAATTTGATTGCAATCGACTGCAGATTGAAATGCATAAAATTACCCCCTTTCTTTTTCCTAATTTGACTGTTCCATAGATACGGTTTGATTTGTCACTTTTGGACGATAGTTTGTGACAAGAGCGTGACTCGCTGTTATAAGGCGAAGGTTTACCCCCTTCGGGGCAACATGGAAAGCGTGTTCTGTAACTCGTGGTAATTACCCTGCGACACGATATTATCGCGTTTCACTTATCTTAGCGTGGGTCTAATCAACGGGAGACATACAATCTTATCGTTACGTTCTGTGACAATATCGTGCAGGAATTGCAAGTTATTTTTGAGTAGAAAAATTGAAAAATTACCATTAATGAATTTTTCTCGTTTTCATTTCAAAATTAAAGTTTGCCACCTACATAAAATGATCCTCACTTCGAATTTGTTGTATCTGCCTATTTCTATCTTATCTGTGATAGGTAGTAAAATATCACGTATGGAATAAAATTTGTCGCCGAAGATTGAGAATAAAAGTATCGTCTGCAGACACCTATCGTTAATCCCTTGAATGGCTGCGCCAGAAAATCCGCGTATCCGCGTCGCTTACGTGGCTCAAGCTGAAAACGTCTCAAGCACGAATCCCGGCTTACAACGCTTGCGAAAAGCCACAGCAGACGCAACAATCCATTCACAATTGTTGTCTAAAAAGAAACTTGGGAAAAAAAATAATACTTGATCCTTCTTCGTATCGGTCTAATCTTATCGCCAAGTCTGTAAGAAGAAACAGTTGAAATTTTATGTAGCTCGTCTGGCGGATGTAGAATCGTGTAGACAAGGGTTGACATTAAAATCTTGACAAGATAGATGAGCAACGGAGCTCGAGGTCATAATTGTGAACACAGACAAAGAAAATGGGCGGTATGAGATAGTAGATGGAGGCTCAGGTGGGAAAGGAAGGTTTTGCGATGAACATTGGCGTAACTAGGATTCTTTTCTAGGGTGGAAAAGATTTTTTAGTTTTATTAACAGGGTGAAGTGTTTTATATCTTGCATTTGCATTACGAGATTTTACGAGAAAGTCTTAGAATTTTAGATTCTCGCAATCTCTGTACCTTAGATTTGAAGTTAGAATATTAGAGTATTAGAGTATTGGAATATTAAAATATTAGAATATTAGATTATTAAAATATTAGAATATTAGGGAACTAGAATCTTAGAATTTTAGAATTTGAAAATTTCACTTAAGGTTCGAAATAATAAAAAAAGTTCCCAGTTCTACATCACCGTTCCCAAGATTTACTTCAAACATTACTGATTCTATAAATCCGGAAAAATCCTTCAACAATTTCTTGTAACTCCTCTATATTTGAATCTCTGAAACGTCTAACGTCGCTATCGTTTCGTACTCGAGCAAGAGAAAAAGTTGGCGCGAAATAAATCTTCCTTCTTTCGGTGCGTCGAACGAACGGTCGAAGTCGTAAACCATGGACTCGATGGTGAAATCAATTTTACAAATCCGTCGGGCAAAAAGCACAGACCGAAACTTTACGCGTACAGGATAAAAGCACGAGAGAAATTTGCTGGCCTGTGAATTGAGATCGTTTCAGGGTGGAACGTGCTTAATTTTGGGTAATAGCCACCGTTCTCTCATCGGTGATAATTTAAACAGGATTGGGAAAAAAGTTCTTTTTTTTTTTATTCACGAACTCGTACACTGTATCGTACGCCCTGCTTTAAACTTTTATTTCATTCGTTAATTATTTTTGATGTTCCAAAAATATTATGTTCAATTTTAATGATATAAAAATGATAAAGAAAATGTTGAAATCCCATACAAATGATGAAAATGTTCCAAAAATAAGAAAAATTAAATTTTATTCTGCCCAGAATTTAATATAAATAAAATAATTATATTTTATTATTAAATTTTTAAATAAGCATCATCAATAAATTCTTTTCTATTTTTTAACATATTAAATTTATGTATGCATATTTCCTGCATCGTCAGGAGAACCCCCATTAAACCCCCATCGTTGCACTCGTGCGTACATAATGTCCGAAGGATACTGCGAATGGGGGGTGGCTTGTTTTGCTTTTGTCCAGCCTCGATGACACCGTTATTGTTTCCCAAATCCGCGCCAGTTAATTAGCATTTTCATCGGGTTGTCAAGCAAGCCGCCAGTAGGGATGATGCGAGACGAGGAGAGGGTTAATGTTTTCCGGTTGAAGGCTGGTATCGGATCTGATCGTGATTTCACAGTGCAAGACATTGACGGTGGAAAGGGTTGAACGTCGGTAATTAGGTGTTGTGGTGTCAAGAGTAGAATGGAAGTAAGCACTTATGTGAATTTGCTTCAACAAATAAAAGTGAATAATTAATAATTATAAAATAATTTCAAAGAGTGCATATTGTTAGTATATTAATTTTTGTTTAAAAATTGAAGGAAACAGCCCTTATTTTCAATTTTCTCTAATTACTATTATTTTAATCAAGTCTTTAAATGAATCAATAATAATCAAATCAGAAAATGAGAAAATATTAAAGATATTGACCTAATTAAAAAAATTCTTGCATATAATGTTTTTCAACATCAGAAATAAACCAGCTAAAAACAATGACAGACAAATAATGCTAACATCCATGCGAACAAAGCAACGTCGGAGAAGAATAGAGCAACAAAAGTTTTAATTAAATAGAATTACGTTCTCGTTTCCTGTTCAGAACGGATTGAAAACATCGAGAACGAGACAACAGAATTCAGTCTGGAAAATATTCCACGTTATTAGATTCCTCAGCGACTTATTTCAGAATACGTTCGAAGAGGCGGAGAATTATCCAAGGCGGAAAATCTCTCTCTACTTTCTTCGTTCGATTGTCAACCCTTTAAGATACCAGGCTGAAAACGAGCCAGGGTGCGAAGCATACGCTGATAAGCGGGTGTGACCGCATCCAGGAATTGAATATTATAACATTCGCTCGAAACAGGTGCAATTTAAATGAAATTCTAAGGGCTGTTTTGAGTAACGGTCGCGTTACATCGAAAGTTCAAGCATTGTTAATTCAGCAGCGAATCAGTTGGCATAGTGGTTTCGCTTTGGTACGTCAGATTGCGTAATTGATCGTGATATTATGCTTGGTTGACCGATATTCATTGAAAACGGAATCATGCTATGATGCCTGCCTACTCGACGCGAGCTCTCGTAAATAAATTACTCGTATCTGTACTCGGATATTCTACACTACCATTAACTAACCACCCCCCCTTCAGTTTCATTAGTAAAATATGAAGCGTCGTTATTAAATTTCGATAAATGGAGTGACAAGGAAATGATTAAATTTCCTTTGATTAATTACCCCTTTTTTCAAGGAAAAATACAATGGGAATTTTTTATTAATTTCCCAGGGTAAGAAATGGAAAATGAAAAAATTGTAAATATGGCTGTTTTCGTAGTGGCTTTCAACGCGTTAAAATAATATCATCTTTTTTTTTTTTAATTTTCATGCAAGTTCATTTTATGCTACGAAATTTGGATAAATGAACGCGCGTAAAAATAGATTAGTTCACTTTTTTTTTACTTTTACGAGTACTTGAGTGCGAACACCAAGAGAGTACCTTTACGGAGATTGAATTAAATTTCATCCTCCGGGCGTTTCGTTTAATTTAAAATTATTATTCAATGGTAACATCGACCATAACACCGACTGTCCGCGGTCTTATTTACGATTGCACCGTGCCTCTCGGGTTTCAACCTTCTCTTCTGCTGCGTTTCACCGAAAATAACTTACGCCGACGCTAATTAAAACTCTAATTAGAGTAACTATCGACGAATAAAATTTCTGAAAATTAATGTCGTAAGAAAGAACCTAGTATATTTCCGTGAACCATTTTTTCGCTAATTAATAATTACATTTCTGACGTAGCAATTTCGTCCGAATTTCATTTTCACAGTATTCTTTGGAATTGAATTTCACTAAAATATTTCTGTAGACAGAAGTTCAAGAAATTAACTTTACAAGAGAAACGTCTGTCTTTGTAATTTCTAATACTGAGCCGTGAGTATTTTGAAATTTTTCATTTTACTAAAAATTTTCAAGAAGAAATCGACGGAAATCGTATAATTCATTTGTCTCTATTTTAATATTCATGAATTTTCTTTAAAAATATATTGAATGTAGTAAAACATTACAATACCAATTTCCCTGCATTCGTTTTATTAAATTTCAAAGTAATCACTGGATTACGAAGAAAATTGTATATAAATTTCAATCAACGTTGGATTCTGTCCGTTCTCCATATTTACCAAGCTTTTTTATTTTAGAAAATGGAATTTTAAAAGTCCGATTATTTCTGGTACGATGCGATTGAGATGCGTTCGCGAAGAATTTTCCATGAAAAATGCATTAAGGAAATATCCTTCGGTTAATGAAAGACTTTTTTGTCTAGGAAATAGGTAAAGTGATGACAAATTATTATGAGGCTTGCGTTTGACATTGTTCGTGCAATTAAGTCTTATTGTCACGAT